TGAACTAACTCAGTGGTCCTCAACCTTTTCGACCTGTGGGTGCTTTTGGAATTCTGGCATGGCATGGTAGGCACAGCCACAAAATGGCTGCCACAGCTTTCCTTCAGTCACATAGTGAAGATCCTAGTAACGCCCATCAGGTTCATTGGATGTCCTCGAGTTCTAGTATTTTGGGAGGGGGGGGGAGAATTCTTTGTCAACTCTCTCCATCCCATGCATAATTCTATAAACCTCCATTATGTTCCCCCTTAGTTGTCACTTTTCTAAACTGAAAAGTCCCAGACTCATCAGCCTTTCCTCATATGGGAAGGTGCTCCACCCCTAATCGTCTTGGTTGCCCTCTTTCCTTTTTCGAGCTCTGCAATGTTAAGGTATGGTGGCCAGAACTATACACAGTTGTCACTTTTCTAAACTGAAAAGTCCCAGACTCATCAGCCTTTCCTCATATGGGAAGGTGCTCCACCCCTAATCATCTTGGTTGCCCTCTTTCCTTTTTCGAGCTCTGCAATGTTAAGGTATGGTGATCAGAACTATACACAGTATTCCAAATGAGGCTGCACCATAGATTTATAGAGGGGTATTACGATATTGGCCAAAGGCTCACGCCTCTGCCTTACAGTTCAGAGGCCCAGAGCCCCTGCCTCCCAGCAGCAACAGCAGAGAGTGGGGCCTGCAATCAGCCTCGGGCAAACAGACCTTGCTCAGTGAGCAACAGACCAGACAAAATTTTGACCCAACAAACCCAGACAAAAACTCTCCAGCAGGCTGCAAGCACCCACTCACCCAATAAACTCTATCTTCTCACAAAGTGACTTCAGCTAATGCTCCCCAGTAATTCAGCAGTTTAGGAAAGGCAAAAAACAAAACAAAACCCACCACTAATTTTCCCAGCAGCTCTCTCCTAGGTTCTTTCTCCCAGCCCACCTGGCTCAGTTCTGTCTCCAGTAGCTACTCAGAAGCCTTGCTGGGCAAAAGCCCTACCTTGCTTCACCCCCTTGGCAGGCACCAGGAAATGTGTGGGCAGGTACCATGGCACCCACAGGCCGCATGCTGGGGACCCTTGATCTAGCTGAATAAGGATGCTGTCGTTTGCATGCATGATTTGGGAGCATGTCCCATTTACATCTATGAGTCTAACAAGTAAAGAAAAAGAGGTTTGGGCTGGCCATGTTGCAGATCTAGAGCTGTTGTCTCAGGGCTCTTTTCCCTAATTCCCAGAATTATTTTGTAATGGCCGAGCTTCCATTGGAAGAACTTTTCAACAGAAGACATAACAAAGGATTTTTTAAAGGAAAAAGCTTTCAGAAAAACTCACTGGCTTTTAAAAAGTGTTGTTAAAAGATTTATGCGGTGGCCTCCCACCATATTTCTCCTGTCAGATTTGACATCTGTCTCTTTTTTTCACCTCTCTCTCGGAGCAGATGGCACAGCTGGTTTCTGTGCCAGACAACCACAGCACCATGTCCAGCTTCTTCCAGTGGAAGACGACTGCATACAGTTCTCAGCGTCCTGAGCGGGCGGACACAATCCACTGCCAGTATTATCCTCTGCAGACAACAAACTGCACGGTTCCCAGGTCTAGCATAGCCCACGCCTACTTTGGGGAGGAGCTTGAGAGTCACCATGGTGTGGCCGCCATCAATATTTCTTTTGGCAGTGAGGACAGTGAAGCCTATGATGAGAAACGCTACTTGAGCTGGTGAGAGGTCCTCTTTTAATTGCCGGGTGTTTTGTGTGTGTCTGTATCGAATAAGCTTAAAAAGTACCTGTTGGGATCCATAACTGTTGCATAGACTGCTGTGATCTCATGGAAGGCTTTCAGCCGTACACAACTGTATAAGGCTAAGCAGCTAGCAACAGAATGTTAACAGAAATTCAGCTTCTTTTCAGGAAGTAGAAAAGTGCAAAAGTCCAGTAGCACCTTAAAAACTAACAAAATATGTGTGAGGGTATGAGCTTTCCTGAGTCACGGCTCACTTCTTCAGATACAGCTGGAATGTGACTCCCATCTCTCCTTTTTATTGGAAAGTGGAGCGATTTCAGATGCCGAATGACATTAGCAGGCAAATGACAGTAGCAGATGAATGACAGTAGCAGGCGTGATTGTATTTAGGTGAGATATGCAGAGGGTAAATAGGGGTGGAGAAATCGAAATTGGTAATGAGACCCCTCTGCATATCTCACCTAAATCCAATCATGCCTGCAATTGTCATTCATCTGCTACTGTCATTTGGCATCTGAAATCACTCCACTTTGCAATGAATAGGACAGATGGACTCTCATTCTAGCTGTACCTGAAGAAGTGAGCAGTGACTTATGAAAGCTCATCCCCTGACACATATTTTGTTAGTCTCTAAGGTGCTACTGGACTCTTGCTCTTTTCTACTGCTACAGTCTGGCACAGCGACAATCTTGCTCAGGAAGTGTAAGATTTTGAGTTCTGTATGTATGTTTGGGTGGCTTGGGGTGAGGCTAGTTTGTGCTAGGCCTGGCTGCAGGAGGGACTAAGTGGTTGTTTGTGACAGTAAGATGTTGCAAAAATGTAAAGAAGTTTAAGCAGTAGGGGGTCTGGAAGCAAAGTAGTTTGGCAAGAGAAATGTATATCCCTACATGCTCTGACACTACTGACAACACCAATGATGACAGCACCCTCCCTTGGAAATCCTCATTATTTAAGAAAAGAGGTTCCTGTGCTAGATTTTGGCAGTGGGGGAGTCTACAGGGGAGGGGAGGGAGCAACAGCTACAAGGTGATCCTCACGAATGAACACTTTTCCTCTTTTTCTCTTCCCCCAACACCTGCTGTCCCTTCTAGGTCTGCCTTGGTTGGATTTGGTGAACCACCGAAGGACACTTTTTCCACCTTAGTGATTGCCATCCTTGCGGTTGGGTTAGGGACTCCAGTGGTGCTGCTGGTTGCAGGGAGCATCACTGCCCTTTTCACACAGAAGAGACGGTATTCTGAATACGAACCGATCAATTGATCATTGTGAAGCCAGAGGCCAGTGGTTGTCCCGGGCTGTGTGACCAAACTTACTTTGAACTTTTTCTGGCGTTTGTTCCAAAGGGAAGCTGCTGTTGGGGAGAGTTATTTACATTTGCTACAGGGTTTCCTCATGGTGGCGTAACTGATCTCTAAATCAGGTTCTCGGAGTGGATGTTCTCATAACCTTTTAATATGCTTTGGTATCCTTGATGAGTGGGGGGTGCGTGGGTGGGGGCTTACTTTCTTGTCCTGACATGTAGCTTATTGTGAAGCGAGGAAAAGAACAGTTCAGCTGCTTCAAATGACCACTTCTTAAAAATGTTCGCTTCTAAATGCTCAAGCAGTACTTGAAATGAACACCACTTAACATGTTCCTCTAGGATACACGGGACACTGTTTTCAGTTCCATTGAGACTTTGGTCCTACATATAGCATGTCCAAAGCAATTGTTGTGGTTTGGTTTTGGTTTTCTGTGTATGTGTTTTAAATTAGGTACACTGGACGAGCTGAACTTACTTTCCTTCTTCCCATATCCCCCCAAGACGTTTTGGGCCCTGAGGAAAGCAGGATTTGTGGGCCTCTGTTCCCAGTTCACACAGACATTCAGCTGAAAATGTTTACATCAGACTTTATTTTTGCCTGTCCATGGAAATTTCTGCCTTGAAAGCAGGCAGGGGGCTTTTTTCAATTTCTCCTCTTACTTACCAAAAGCTGGTTTGGAAATTGTCCCTCTCTTTAAATTTTGAGACGTATTTTCAATCAGCATTCAGACCTCTCCTTTAAACCCCCCTCCACATTTTGGCTTTGCCTTTAAAACAAAACTTTGTCTTGTTAATGCAAGGGTTACATTCATGTAGAATTGCTAATATTTTTGATACTGTTGCCAGTTTCTCCAACTGAGGCTCCTGTATCTTTAAGAAATGAAGCTCTTCTCCTTCAGGCATTGTGGCAGTTTCTATAGATATGAATGACTTTATTTTTAAAAAAACTCTTTGAATCCTTCCACACATGTATGCCTGTCAAAAGTGCAGGAACCTTAGTCAGGTAGTAGAAACTGGCTATTTTTTATTATTTTAAATAGAAAAGGCTTACTACTAGTTGTGGTGTTTACAGGTTGCTGCTGGCCTCTAAAGAGACACAAAATTGCACTGTTTATAAAGTCATGCACCTTTTTTCTTGTAGAGGTTAGCTCCTGTCCCCCCCAAACATACTGGGGTGTGTGTGTATGTTTGCTCTGTTTGGCCTTCCTACTGGTCTCCTGTACAGGGGATGGCTGGATTAGAGCTCCTGCGAAGGCCAGGTTAAACCTTTCAAGCCTTGGTGGGGTTCAGGTAATTTCAAGCTTGTTGAAGGCTGCTGTCGGCCATTTTGTTTCTCTCCCAGAGGGGTACCTGTCAGTATGCCTCATTGTAGGACCTGCTGAGGCACTGGTGCTAGGTGCTGGCGGATGGGCATGTTTCATGGACCCCGACCCATCAGAAGACTTCCCCAGCCATCTTGGTTCTTAGCGGGGTCCTTGGTGGCACAACATGCTCTTCACTAGCTTCTCAACCTAACAGTATTTGGGGATCCTTTGGGGCTAGATTTCCAGGAGGTACCTGATGACCTAGAAGCTCCTGTTGAGATGTGGCCTTCAACTGAGCAGTAGTAATACTTTTCCTTTCTCTGTGTGTGTGTGTGCCTTTCAGGATGGATGTACTTGCGGTTTTTACTTTGCACAGTAATGTAGCCAAACCGATGCTTTTGCTTTCCTTGGTTTTTGGAGGGGGTGGGCTTCTAGGTTGTTCTCTCTCCCATGTTATCTGTCTCGGACCAATTAAAGAAGATTATTTTTTTCCATGCTGTTTTCTTTCAGTTGCTGTGTTTTCTTTCAGTTGCTGTGTGCTAGAGTTTCTAAATGGTGAATTAATGGAAGTGTAAAATCTCTGAGCCGTGGTGGCTCAGAGGTTAAGACGCTGAGCTGCAGACTGGAAGGTCTGTAGTTTGGCAGTTCGAGACCCTATTGCCGTGTGACGGAGTGAGATCTCCAGCTCCTGCCAACCTAGCAGTTCGAAAGCAAGAATTGCAAGTAAATAAATAGGTACCGCTTTGGAAGGTAACAGCGTTCCGTGCGCCTCGGTGTTTCGTCACGCCAGCCACATGACTACAGAAACATCTTTGGACAGCGCTGGCTCTTTGGCTTGGAAACAAAGATGAGCACCGCCCCCTAGAGTCGGCTTCGACTAGCTTTCGAGCAAGGGAAACCTTTACCTTTTTAATGTTATCTAAGCAAGGTTGGGGCCTGTGATGAATTGTGTGAATAAGGAACAATATGGGAATATCTCTCCCTTGATTAAGGTTTAGGGTTGCCAAGTCTGGGTGGGGAATTTCCTGGAGATTTGGTGTTTGGGGGGGTGCAGCCTGCAGAGGGTGAGCTTTGGGGCAGGACCACAGCAGGGTATAGTGCCATAGAATCCACCCTCCAAAGCAGCCATTTTCTCCACAAAAACTGATCTCGGCTGTCTGGAGATCAGTTATAATAGCAGGAGATCTCCAGGTGCCACATGGAGGTTGGCAACCCTATCAAATCATGCACATACACACAATTCTCAGCATTCTGTCCCAGCCAGCGCATACTCCATTTTTAAGGGTGTTTTAAAGTCATGCTTTTTTCTGCATACGTCGGGAACAAGTGACTCCCGTCTTGTGTATACGGGGCCTGATTTCCCCCCCAGCTTTTGTTATCCCACAGGAACCAGCCAGCCCAATTTGCTGTTTAGAGTTGAGTTTAACCCCATGTTCAATGCCACCAATGGGGTGTTTCAAGAAAGTATAACCAAAGCGATCAAGGAGTACCTTCCCCTGCTGGTGCTGCATATCTTTTAACTTATGAAAACTGACTGTTGAGGGGGTGAGGTTCACAAGAGTTCTCTAAAATCATGAACAAAGTGGTGAGAAACATCTCACTTTTTTCCTAAGATACCTGGAGGGCAAGGGGAGGTAATGAAAGTGATTAATAGTATGCTCAAGATACAGTACAAAACATCTAACTGCTTTGCCGGATCAGACCAAGGGTCCAGCTAGTGAAACTTCCTCCAAAAAGCACATGAAGGCAAAAATCCTTCCCTTCCTGTTGCCCCCTCCAGCAGCTGGCACTAAGAGGTACACTGCCTCTGACTGTGGAGGTTTTGTTTAGCCACCACGGGTGATAGCTGTTTAATCCTCTTTTATACCCATCAAAGCCAGTCTTGGGATGGCAAATCCCTGAGAGCTATGCTTTGTATATAGCCATGCTATTGTCTGTCCTGAATTTACTGCCCATCGGTTGCACTGGGTGACTCCGGGTTCTACCATAAGAGGAGAAAATGTTCTCTCTCTCATTTCCTCTGTACCATTTTTGATTTTATGAAACTCTGTCATGGCCCTGCTCTGCAGCTGGGTTTCACAACTTGGCCTCCCTTCTGCACTTGCAAGGAATCACGAAGTAGGTACACCCCTGAGAGAAGGTATCCATGCCTGTGTCATTTGAATTGGGCATGTCCTTCAACTGAGCAGCCCTTATCCACTGATGGCACCGCACTACTGTTTTCTGTAGCAAGTGTGGGTGTAACCTGAGGAAATAAAAAAGCTGGAGAACAAGACAGAAACTGCCTGCTCTGGCATCGGAGCTGTAGGTTCCTGCTGTCTTAGATGTTTGTTCATTGGTGAAGCTGTTTCGGATCTGTCGGGGAGGGGTTACTCTCTGGATTTGCATGGGTGTGTAGGAAGGAAGTGAGAGCTTAAAGGTGTGTCACATGGGAAGGCTATGTTATGAGGAAATTGCAGTTAAAAATGTGAAATGGATTTGTGTTGTCTTTACGACATTACTGGGCAAGTTACTTTCTTTGAAGGGAATGTGTGGTCTCAGCTTAAATTTTTTAAAAAGAAACTCTGCTACCAGTCGTCAACCTGTAGTATGTTCCCTGGAAACTGCCCAACTGGACATCTATTTTTTTTTTGGGGTGTGTGTGTGTGTTTCCTTGCAGGATGCTGAGGTGGACTATGCTTATTTTTTATTGGAAATAGAACCTGTGG